GCCCTATATTGGAGATGCGCTGTAATAGGTGTTTATGAGACTATCAGGCAACCAAAGGGCTTGTTTATCTGCTCTAAGACATGCCCAGGCGAAATCCACACTTTAATATAAGAGGAGAGGAGATGTCCATATATGCCTGGAACAATAAACACTGGATCGTCTTAACATTCTGTTTTTGATAGATGGAGCAAAAGTCTGGGCGTCAATATTTATGATGGGTACTTTTCCTTGGTACTTTTCTGTTATTTTTGTGTACTACAATAAGATTTGAGCTGCACAGAGTTATACGGTCACATTTTTATATAGCGCTTTTCCACCTTCAAGGCACTCAAAGCATTTTATGTCAAGGAAGCACTCACGCATTCACACACAAACACACACACTCATATCCCAATGTACACAAACACTGGAGACGAGGTGGGTTAAGTTTTTTGCCCAAGGACACAACAAAAGCATTCTGTGGAAGCTGGGATCACGCCGGCAACCATGTGGGTTTGTGGATCTGACCGCTCTACCAATGATGTTTATGTTGAGAGCGGGATTCGAAACATAAACGATTTTTTGTTTATATTTTCTATTCTACAGGTCTATACCCATATTCTAGGATTGGAGATGGCTGTTTTTGAAGTAGGTTTCATGACCCACTTTTGACAAAATTTATCCAAATTTTCTACCAATTCTACCTTCTATCAGTGGTTTGGTGAAAGGCTTACTGCACTGCCAGCTTTAATGTCTTATTTTAGCAGCCTTTACTACCATGTGGAGGGTGTTTGCTCAGCTGTTCAAATTATAGTGTGTCTTTATACATTTATACAGGATTTAAAAGACAAACAGTGCAGGCGACTGCGGGACATAATATTAGCAGAAAACAGATAGAAATATCTTCTGTATGTCTTGACTTACTCACTGACATTTGCGCTTTTCAATCCTATATAACTGCTAGAAAACCTTTTCATTTAAGTCATGCTTTTATTATTCATGAAGTGTTTTACATTGTGCTGCTAGAGAATAACTATAATATTCTTCAGGTATTTGATCTGAATATACATGCATTTCCGTAGGCACAATCAAGGGAAATTAGCATCCATTATCCAAAGGTAGTGTATTCTTAACCTCAACTTTTATATACCTGTACAGTATTAAGTAACAGCATCATGCTACATAAGATATCCTTAAAGCGAACATATTAAGGGACCATACTGTTTTCTGATCTATGTTATAATAGGGTTTCTTCATCAAAAACAATCCTGGAGTTGTGTTTTGTTTCATTCACATACTGTATGTTTAACTCCTTAACACCAACTGTCACAAATATGCAAGAGTCGGATCGAGGTATAAGCCGACATAGCAGCTTCATACCCCCAGTGCAGGTTAGTGCATATGCAGAACCTTTCAGCATTTGTTTCTAATTGTCGCAAATTTGCAACATACCCAAATTTCTATTTATTTAGTCAAAGTAATAATCTCAACTTAATTTACCATCTACTTAAATGCAAAAACACACACAAAACATTTTTAATATACATCTATATAAATTCAGGAGTTAAGGGGTTAACAAACAAATCCTGTATATTTAGGCGGAGTTCTTCTCTCAAACACAAAACAATCGTGATGGCATGTTTTAATACAGGAAGTGCTCTACTGTGCTCTTAAACTCCATACACCTTCATTAGAATCATTTACATTTACAATTTCAGCTCTTAAACTGCCAATCTCTACAGAACTAAAGGTAAAAATTTACTTGAAAACTACGGCCTCATGACATCACAAGGTAGAATAGAGCATTTTGAGCTTTGGAGATGCAGACATCTTAATAATGCAGGATTACTCAAACATATAGTGTTTGAATGAAACAAAACATGATTCCAGGTTTGTTTTTGAGGAAGTATCAGCATTATAACGCACCTTAGAATAGGTGGAAGAGAATTGGGCTAAATAGTGGTACATGATCCACTGAGGCAACCCCTGACCAGATAAGGAGGATGCTGCTGTTATTGATATGCATGGGCAGGCCTGCATGTATAATTTAGAGATATACTGACAGCAGTTTATCAATGCATCTGTCTATAAGGAGGAAATGTTAATAGGATTACACACAGGTGGTGATGGCTTTATGGTTCCTCTCAGTGATCTTTGGCGTCCCCGGATTCCCCCCAAGCCCAGTCCCTCAATCACACTTGCAGTCAATCAATAACGTGTCAGTCATTGGTGCACTAAATTATCCAGCAGTCGCTCGCTAAATGAGCCTGTGCTTAATCCGTAAACAGTCACTCGTTCAGAAATTAGTCAGATCATTACGTGGACCAAGCTGCAAGGTTGTATTATCAAGCGGCAAATCAGTCAGGAAATTAGCCAGTCAGATTGAAGTCCTTCTGTCAAGTCAGAGCCATTTTTTAGGGTTTTAAGTGACTGATTTTCATGTTTTTCTCATTAATACATGATTTGGTGTGATAGTAGTACATGTGGTAAATGTCGATCATATTGTTTTACATCAGTCAAGTGACTATTTGTGGAAATATATAGACAAGAAGAGTACAAAAATATAGAAAATAGCTGTGAATTAAATATTGGACCATCTCTTGTGACAAAGGTTGTCACAGAAAATTCCATCCATAATGCACGGACAATTTACACATAAAGAACATAACGCACACTGTCATCTGCTTTTATTAGTGTAATCATAACTATTGTGCGGTTTAGACAAGTTTTGTTAACATTGTTCGTGATAGATAATAACATATAATTATAAACTTTAAAAACAAGAAAAACTACTCAAGATTTTTATTAAAATCATAAAAATAACTATGTTAACTATGTTTTAGTGAAATTAGTAGTCTAACTTGTCATATGCACTTTAAAGTTCTCCTCAAAACTTTAAGACAAAGCAAGCTTAAAAGTCCTATATTACACAAAATTGACTCTTGTTAGCATTAACCCATGTTAGAATACATATCCGGAGCTGTGTTTTGTTTTATTTACACATGGTTGAGTAAGCTTTTGTTAGTCTGTCTGCATCTCCAAAGCTCAAAATACTCTGTTCCATCTTGTCATGTTACGAAGCAGTTGTTTGCAAATTAAATTAACAGCTCCTTTTATCTTTTATTTCTGTAGAGATTGGCTATCATCCAAATAATAGTAGTGTAGGTACATGGAGTTTAAAAACACAATGGAGCACTGTTTTACCACAGGACATCATGAGGTGGAACAGAGTGGTTTCAATTTGAAAGTAACTCAGTCTAAATATGCAGGTATGAAACTAAACACAACTCCAGGTATGTTTGTGATGAGGAAAACAACACTATAATATAGATCAGAATACAGTGTAATATGGGCCCTTTAACCTCACTAGCCTGCAACCTCAAGATAACATTGGTCCAATTAACTCAGCACTGCCTCCCTGTTGTAGCGAATGTGTGTCAGATCTGCGGCACCACGACTGTAATGTGTATTTGAGGGTTTAAATGACCATGTTTGCATAAGGCTATCTAATAATCAGGTTGTCCCAGTGCTTATGCTTTATGGAGAGGATAACTGCCCTCTGATTGACCTGCCTCTGTGTATCATTTGGCCATTCCCAGTCACTCCCTGATCACTTAGACTTATTAGAGGTAATATGAGCAGGGATTTACTGCCCATCTATAAGGACTTGAGGTATTACAGTGATGAATTGCCTAGGAATGAGTACACAGAATTGGGACATCACATTTATGAGAAAGGTTACTCTAACAGAGAGCACTGAAAAAGCAGGTGAGTTAAAGTGCATGCTGTACCTAGAGAGTCTTTATGTGTCAGCCAAAAATGTAATTTCACCTCATTTTAAGCAAAGGTCCACTTGAACGGTGATGATATTGGACTCTATGGTTAATCCAATAATGTAGCCGACAACCAAAAGGAGACATTTTTTTAAAGCCAGAGAGCTCTGACTGTCACTCCAAGCCTAGGCACATATTTTTGGTATTAATGGGTTGACTATGGTGTTTGTAGATTATAAGACATAACTGGATCATGTTCGCTAACAAGGAAGGCAGTGTGATTAATCAAATTTTAATCCAAATCTAGATTCGCTCATGTGTAATTGTCATTTATATTCTTGGTGCTTTTTAATCGGCAGGTCTACAGACAATCGCTAAAAGCTTGTGGTTTGGAGCAGAGTTCAGACTTTTTTGGGTGTTGAATGGCAATTATAGTCTTGTCATTGTACAGGAAATTCATCCTGAAATGCATACATTTGTTTTAATAAAACAACCAAACTGATCAAAATAACAGAAAAACATGATACAAAGAAAATCACATTATTTTCATTTTTAGCATATGGCTGAGTCTAACAAGTCTAATTTATACTTGTTCTAAGTGTGTTTAAATAAAAGAGGAATCTAGATTGTTGTCTGTGTGTGTTGTAATTATTATGTAGATAAATTATTCACTTTTCTTTTCTAAAATGTTTTCATTTTGACTTCTTGTACCCCAGCCCATCTTAAAGCCCATGCACCACTGTGTCTATAAGGACAGATGCTGTGGCTCAGGCCTGGGCACTCACAGACCTCATATCTGACAGCTTCTCCCACCACTCTTAATTACTGCGTCTCTGTCGCTTCGATTTCTCCAACCACTCATTCTGTGAATGTCAATTCTTTTTCATTTTCCACATATGCCAGCCTTTTCACTAAAATACCACAAGTCACTCTTTATTGGATTCCCAGCATGTATGCATTAGTGCGTGTCTATAGTTGAGTCCTCTTCAAGAAAACCTTATAGCAGAACTTTAAGTTGTTGTTCTGTTCTACCCTCTGTATTTCAAATCGTCTATTTGACTTTATTATAATATCAGAGATCTTTTTGTGGGGCAGAGTGTTTACTGTACCTGAGAATCACTTTATTTTTTTCAAAGCTTTACGGCCATAACCCCCATTGAGCACACAATTCATCTAACAGCAATTTGAAACAGCATTTCCAAAACAGAATGATGTGGTGATTCATTTCTTTCCTCATGCTCTCTTCAGGTAAATATGCCATGAGAGACCTGATCCATCGGTTGCCGGGCAGCAGCAGCAGTAACAACAACACCACCAGCAGTGCCACATCGGTGAACGCCAGCTCTGCCAGTAAGGCCATGTCCGATGATACGGTGACCGCCATTTGCTGCGCCCTGCACGAAGTCATCACCAAAAACATGGAGAACGCCAAAGCACTACGGGACGCCGGGGGGATTGAGAAACTGATCGGTATCGCACGCAGCAAAGGGGACAAGTAAGTCAACAAGTTTTCAAAATCACTAATGGTGTCCTTGCTGAGTATTCAAAAAGCATTGACAAATATAAATGGGCTAAAGCCACGGTTACTTTTTACACAAAAAATAAACAAAAATAAAAGCACACAAATAACTCTTATTTTGCCTTGCCCTGGATGTTTGTGAAGTATGGGTTTAACTTTCTGTTTCTATTGAATCAAGCAGGTGACGTGCCACCTCCAGAAAATTGCGTTCTTTACCTTTAAGTGACCACATCCAATAAGCTTTTGATTGATTTTACTCCTACATTAATTATTCAAATTGGCTTGCCCTGACAACATTATAAATAAATGACTGGTATGAGATTATGTGCTGTAATTGTTATCTTATTAAACTATTGTTTTGATAATGTGATAAAAAATAACCATTGTTATTTTTGCAATCCCAAGATGCAATATTCTAATATACTCTTATGGTAGCATTAGACGAAACAGGGCCCTATTTATAAATCAGGGCAGGTTTCGGGGTGCCCCATTTACAAAATGTATTTGATAAATTATGCTTAATATATTTACAAAATATTTTTGTCATTTTGTAATAAATAAATAAGCAATTGTCTATGAAAAAAGGCTCTACTGCAAATGCCAATTATATACACTAACCAGAAAAAAAAACAACACATTATCTTAGACTATCTTCAATCAGAATAAATGAATAGATTAAAGAATAGATTGACATGATACGAAAATAATAATAATATTTTGTATTCCACTGTGTATAGAATGACTCAAATCAGTAAGAGGGAGTGCAGTATTGAGCAGTGGCTAAAAGCTGCCATACATCCATCATTCATAAACAGTGTCCACTCCGTGTGACCATTCATCCACAAAGGGCCAGAGGCAAACAAAGAGGATGCAGTGAAAATAAAGAGGCGCTGTTGCCGTTGGAGACCGAGCTGGGTGTTCTGCTTAGCTGCTATAGCCAGCGGTTACTATGACGCCGGGTGTTATCAGACAAAGGAGGTCAAAGTTGAGAGGTCAAATGTTGATTTATTGTTACGGATGGAGTGTGTTTGGGGATGTGCGCTCAAGGGCGGCATTACAAAGAGATGAGGTGCAGGGAGGAAACAGGAGTACAAAATTCACTGCCACTGGAGCTGGCCGCTAATAGGCTACACATCTTCATTTGGTCTGAATAGGTGCACTGAGAATACTGTGTACTGTGTGGCTTGTTACCAGAGACGCTTTATGCATCTCACATTTGGCGGCTTTAGTGGTGATAGATAGTGAGTGCAAGCCAGGTGAATGTAAGCTTTCTAAATATGATGTGAAGGCAGAGATTTTAATGATTTGATTAGAAGCTCAACTACTGCAATTACCAGTCAGGTTTAAAATTATGGCTTTGGACATTTGAGTATCACATTTTATCTGTTCATTTGATACCAGTTAGTTGGTTGAATAAGGATTAGGCTACAAATGTCTGTTTTGTTTTTTTTAACTGGTGCTGACTCAGATAAAATGTGTAATGCCAGATTTATTGCATATGGGACTGCATGTTAATAAAGATGTCACTAGCAATTATGGGCAGGTACAGACATTTTTATGATCGGCTGGAGTATATGAATTTTAATTGCGTCTCTGTTTGGTCAACGGTTCGACAAATAACTCAATAACAAATAATTTTAATACCAGTGCCCGCAGTTAGGTACTTTGCTCTTTTTTAACTCACAGGGGTTTTGAAAATATATGTGGCAATTTAAATAAAATGTAAATCCTCTTTAGCCCCCTCTCCAGATTTGAAAAGGGCAAGGCTCCTCAACTGACTCCTACTAGCTTCATTTTTCATCAAGTGTCTGGCACAAGGCTATTAGCATGGCAGAGAGGGTCATTTCGCACTCATCTGGCAACTCCCTGTTTTAAGGACATTTTGAGCTATAAAAGGAGCAACAGAGCACTTACTTGTTTAAAAGCCCAAGCACCCAGGGCCTCTAGTCTTACGGAGGAGTGGAGGAGAGATAGGAGGTGTAATAACACTGGAATATTATTTGAAGCAATGCGATCCAAGAGAAATGACTATTATTGTCTTTATCTCACTCCAGACACTCAGCTAAAGTGGTGAAGGCAGCCTCTCAGGTGCTCAGCAGTATGTGGCAGTACAGAGACCTGCGCTCCCTCTACAAGAAGGTAAGAACACCGCTACACACATTTCATTTGAGGCTTTCCTGTGGAGAGACTGAAATGAGAGGAAATCTCTGAAGCAGCTCATCTTCAAAATAATACAATTGTGAGATAGTGGGTAGAATAGCCAAAAATGTATACTTACAGAGCAACGTCATATAAAATATTAACACTCAAGTAGAAGTAAAAAAGTAGTGACCCATATAATTAATCAAGTAGGACTAAAAAAGTAAATATACATGTTTTGTATGTGAAATGTAATACATGTAATGTATGATTTTATATGATGTGTAGCGCACATTTTTAAATCATATGATATGAATATAGTTACTTCAAACTAAATATTATTCAGGTAGAAGTAAAAGTATGGGGGCCCAAAATTGAATATGACTGAATATTTAAGTCACATTTGATATGCTTGCCACTCTTTTTTTCAGAATCAGAATTACTTTTGTCCATGGGGAAATTATTTTTGCTACAGACATGTAGCTGCCCAGCAGAAGAGTAAATAAAAAATCAAGTTAAACCCCCAACGAAAATAAAATAAAATTCTTCCATTCCATCCTTCACGTTATCCCATTACTCTTGTACTCTATCCTGTTTTTAAAACCTTTTTATGAAGGTTAAATCAAATCACATCTCAGCACAGAAATCTCAAGCAAGAATGTCTTCCGCTACTTACTCAAAGAACCAATCAGACCTGCATTGTGAACATTTTAGTGAATGAACTCAGTCAAAAATAATACTGCAAACCATATAAATAATGCAGCCCAACTAGGGATTCATTTCAACTGAAGTGTATTTTTTGTGTAGCCCAAAAGCAGAGCAGCAGTCACCTTAACAAAATTGTTAATTCAACCAACAGTAAATGAGAAAATCAATCAGTGAAACAGTACTTACTGACTTAAAGGTTCCATATTACACAAAATGGATTCTCGTGAGTTTTAAGCAATGTTATAATGTTATTACCTTATCAAAAACATACCTTGAGTTGTGTTTTGTTTCTTTCACACATGTTTGAGTAACACATGATTAGTCCATCTAAATCTTATAGCTCAAAATGCTTGGTTCCTTGTGATTGTAGTTTTCAAGTTAATAGCCTTTTACCTTTTGTTGAGTAGAGATTAGCAATTCCATGGCTAAAATTATTTTAATGATTCTAGTGAAGGTGTATGGAGTTTTAAAACACACTGAAGCACTTCCCGTATTACCACATGACATCATAAGGTGGAACAGATTGTTTTCTGTGTAAGAGAAGAAGTCATCTTAAATATGCAGGGTTTGTGTATTAAACATGTGTGAATGAAACAAAACACAACTCCGGGTATGTTTTTATGAAGAAATAACATAAATCAGAAAACAGTGTAATATGGGCCCTTTAAGACAAACTGTTCACTATCCTTTCAACTGATAATGACTTGCATTGTTGTAAGCCACATGTCTTCACCTTCTGTATATTAACTATGTGTGTGTGAGTTTGAGGTCGGCCATAACTAGCCTCAAACCCAAGAATAATGGGCTTCTACTGGGCCCATCACTGCTGTGTTTACAGATGCAGCCAGATCGATACGTTTATATACGTCTCCAGCCTGTGTGCTTTCTCCTTTTATTATTTCTAGCAAACACAAATACACACACACAACTTTACACTAACACACCCAGCACCCAACAAGGCCATAATTCAGTCCATCTGGAATAACTGCAGCCCATTATATCAGCTGCTAACTTCTATCTTGTAAGGAAGACAAGGATAAGGAGGACAATAAAAGTTCCCAATGTTCAAGTACAAACACACTCTATAGTTAAAAATAAAACTTTGCTGTCACTTCTTTTGTTTCTCCAGAGGAACATATCCTGTGCCGCCAAGTTGATTAAAAATAATGGCAGATGTTTTTGACTTACTTTCACTTACCGATAATGAGGGTTTTTGAGTGTTTTTGCTGCCACGGTTGTGTGCTGTTTATTTCTGTGTAAAGTTCCAGAGAAGAATCATCTTTAGCAACAGAGTACATGTGGCAGTCTAACTCAAAATATGTTGTTTGCTTTTAATTTGTGTGAATTTGTGTATTTGCTCATTTTACATTGTGGGTATAACAATTTTGGACTTTATTGGAAGACAAAAATAGATATTAACTTTTGTGCACATTTAGTTACAAGGGATCAGAGTGCAGTGCTCATCCCCAACTCAAGATACACTGCAAAAAGCAATATCTATAATTAGGGATGTAGCAATAATCGAAATATTGTGATATCGTATTGTCAAAAGTCTCATAATAATGCCTGTGGGCTGTCACAATATATCAAATTACAAGTTCCTTTGCTTAAATGCGTGATTTTATAGTAGCAACAGCTTGTAAACATCGGAAACTACATATCCCATGATACATTTCAGTGTAAACAACATGAAGAAATATGTTTCATTCTTGGGATAATGATGGAAATAATTCACACCAATATCTTCTCAAGGTATTTTAAAAGCAAAAAAGTGTATTATCTACAATTATATTAACCCATCCAAAATATTGCAATAAATATCGTATCGTGAGATGCATATAGTGATAATATCGTACCAAGAGATTTGGCTATCATTACATCCCTATCTATAAATTTAAATAAATAACATTTTTGTATTTAAGTAGATTCAACTTGACAAGTAAAATTATCTGCATATGTAGTATGTGTGTGCCACATTAGATCTTGTTTCGTATTTTAAGTGCAAAGAGTTTTCTTATCTCAAGTGCAAGATGTATTTTCATATTTTACATACAAAAAGTTTTTGGCAATTTAATTTTTTCAAATTAAATTTACTCAAATTATGACACTTTCTTAATTCAAGTAATCTTAACTTGGAAGATTTTAGTTTTTGCAGTGTATACTATATATTCCCCAAGATTAGTGACATGGTTGGATATTATCAGGAGAGGCAAATTTGTAGGTGTGTGTAGGCAAAAGTTCTTTTTTCAGGATTGTGCTCTTTTATAAAGGTTTAGTTTGAAGTTTTGAAGTTTGAATTTGCTTCCTTGGTACAAAGTAGGCGCCTCCACACATGCTCGTGACACTTTTTGCTGTACAGACTTGCCAAAGAATACTGTAGTGTGAATGGTGTTCTATTCAGATGTCAACCATTGCTATTTTCATCCAGGAACGAGCAAAGTAATTTATGGCAGCTGAATAATCTTGACAGTATTCTCAGTATTTTCACATAAGGAGCATTCAAATAGCTGTTCAACCCATAGCTGTTATAAATACTGCGTAGTGAATAGTGATAGTACCATAGTCATGTGAGAACAGATTGGCCTTTAGCATTAAGGCCTAGTGCAGACTAGCCCTCGCTTCATGCATGTTTTCCCAGTGATCACTCAAAGCCCAATTCCCATGTGGCCCCTGGGAGCCTCATCTGCTTCACACGTCTCTAATCATCGCCACTGGATAACATTACACTTGAGTAGATGGCATAACACTCCAGCAATCAGACACAGAGGACATTGGCCCGGGCCTGTTAAGAGCTGTCCGGGAATATTTAGCACCCATGTTTGGCTCGAGATAGGACTGCATATAGGTGGGATATTAAATTAAGTCTTTCTACAGATTGATGGTAGTGTTTTTGAAACAGCCGAATGATTTTGCCTCGTCTCATTTGATCCGATATGATGTAAACATTATTAGAAAAACAAAAGTAAAAGACAAGATGTTTTCCCCTATACCACAACATCATTAAATGTTATCCATCATTCTTATATTAAAACCAGATACCATCTGTGGGCTGTTTTTGAATATTTCAAAATTCAACCATTTCATCCACTTTATTGTAATCTTGGACTGATCTCATTTTATGGAAGAGGAAATGCATTTTAAATTATTAATTAAATGTGCACTATCACATTATCACTATAACATTTATGGTGGAGTGTCCATCACCAGGTCGTTTCCATGGAGATGTTATTGTTTTGCCTGGAATGTTTCACAGTAAAGCATTTAACTTATTTACCCTATTTTTCGAACTATAAGTCACTCTGAAGTATAAGTCACACCAGCCAAAAAATGCATAATGAAGAAGAAAAAACATATATAAACAACATCACATAACAAGCTTACCAAACTCTCGATCTCACTCCAAATCACTAAATCCATTGAATTCTTTATCCTCGGTGTCACTTCTGAGCAACTCTGCGACCTCCGGAGGTAAACAGAGCGCCACTTCCTCTTCTGCATAGCTGTCATCAGACTCAGCATCAGTTCCAGTTAGAATTATTCTGGCCTTTCTGAATCCCAACAGGATGGTTTCGGTTGTCATTGAAGTCCAGGTTTTGTCGATCCATCCAGTGACTTTTCAGGAAAGTTGCATGGCGCACCGTGAAGTTGTGTTCTCCATCCCCCGCTTTCCACCAGTCCCTCACAAGTTCTCGCGCATTCCAAACTTTCTTTCTGCTGCTCGATTACCATTTCTGGCTGCATATTTCACTACTTGCAGCAGGACAGCGGCTCTTTCTGCAGGAGACATGCACAGAAGGATACCAAGTGACAGTGGTACAGAAGTAATAGAAGTAGCAGATACTGACACACAAGCCTAGAGCGCCCTCTCGCGGCTGTCAGTGTGAAAATTTTAATGTATAAGTCGCAGGACCACCCAAACCATGAAAAAAGTGTGGCTAATAGCTTTTTTTTTTTTTTTTACAATATTTGTCTTAGAAGATAACAGAAAGTTTGCCTCTACTTTCCTACAGATAAACTTGCTCAAATGTACTATGCCTCATTGCCCATTATGTCTGTATGCATAATGTGCTATGGGACCCTCCCATGCCATCACCCAGTGCACAACAGGAGACTGTCTAATTTTATACCTGTGGAAATGATTGTGTTTGAGCATCCACGCATCTGACATTATCACACAAGTCCAGAGCTCTTAGTAAGTAGTAACTTCACTGCTGGTATCCCTGCAATGACGTATCAGGTCATGCCTGTTAGCTTCAGCAAAAATCCAGTTAGCATGGTTTAGCATTAGCCAT